CCCTTAGGTATGGCACCAGAGAGGTCTGTGGCCTCAAATGTCCTGCGTCCTCTCCCTGCCCCTTGCTGAGCCAGGTCCTTCGTATCTACAATGTCCTGGACATGAAGAACACGACCTGCCAGGACCTGCAGATAGAAGTGACAGTCAAAGGCCACGTCGAGTACACGAGTGAGTGTGGGGGTTGGGAGGCCTCGGGGCCTGGCAGGGGCTGGTGCAGGGAGCCAGGTGGCCATCCCAGCCCTCCTCACAATGCTTCCCTGTGCAGTGGAAGCAAACGAGGACTATGAGGACTATGAGTACGATGAGTTTCCAGCCAGGGACGACCCAGGTGTCCCTCTGCAGCCTGTGACACCCCTGCAGCTGTTTGAGGGTCGGAGGAACCGCCGCAGGAGGGAGGCGCCCAAGGTGGTGGAGGAGCAGGAGTCCAGGGTGCACTACACCGTGTGCATCTGGTGGGCGCCGGGAGCTGTCCTGGGCCAGGGGAGGGAGGGCAGGACCCAGGCTGGGGCTGGGCTTCTGGAGCCCGCGCAGGCAGAACCTGGACGACAGGTCACATCCCTCCACAGGCGGAACGGCAAGGTGGGGCTGTCTGGCATGGCCATCGCGGACATCACCCTCCTGAGTGGATTCCACGCCCTGCGTGCTGACCTAGAGAAGGTGTGGTCAGACCCCAGGGCAACCCCCTCTGCCCCGGTGCTGAGCCCTGTCATGTGCAGGGCCTGTGACCTGTGACCACCTCCCCTTTTCCACAGCTGACCTCCCTCTCTGACCGTTACGTGAGTCACTTTGAGACCGAGGGGCCCCACGTCCTGCTGTATTTTGACTCGGTGAGTGGGGAGAGGTGACGCAGGAAGGGACTCGATGGCACTGGGTGTACTGAGTGTGCGTTAGGAGGTTTCTCAGGAGACAGCTGTGTCAGCCGCCGATGCTCTTGGGGACTTGATGTCATCAGCGAGAAGGAGGAGGATGTGAGCCTGTGAGACACAGCAGAGTAAGGGGCAGACCTGCAGGTGGCAGGGGCCGGTGCCAGTCAGCGGGGACCCTCGGGGCTTGAGACGATGCTTCGTAAAGCCGGTTTTATTCAGCTTGAGGGGCTGCCTTTGTTTTTTTGTTTTTTAATATTAAAACTTCCTTTTTTTTAATATTAAAGTGTATTTTCTTTTACAAAGTGATGGTGGCCATAGATGACAGTTGTATTTGTCTTTTCACGGCCTTATTTGACTAAAATAGTTATCAACCCTCTTATAGCCTTCAAAACATTTTTATTTATTTAGTTATTAAAGACAGGGTCTCGCTCTGTTGCCCAGGCTAGACTTGAACTCCTGGCCACAAGTGATTCTCTGGCCTAGGCCTTTCAAAGTACCGGGTTTACAGGCCAGAGCCACCAAACATTTTGAGCCCTACCTTCAAAATGTTTTTTGAACATTTACTGTAACCTCTGGGAGAAAATGTGAGAAAGGTGTGGTGGCTTTCATTAGCCAGCTGTTTCTCGGTCAGGGAGACCCCTACCCAGTGTGTGCAGAGGGGCCAGCCCCCATCAGCTGGGGAAGCCTGGCTGACACATCTGGGTTGAACACAATGGAAAACACAGCCAGCAAGATTCCCGGAGAGGGAGCTGACGGCGCGGCAGCCCAGCTCAGGAGAGACACTGGCACGGCACCGTGTGGACTGGGCCCGCATGGGCATGAGGAGGGGTCAGGCCTGGGACCTGAGTCAGGGGGTCAGGCAGGATGACAGAACCTGCAGTTAGGTTATGGCAAATAAAGGAGGACTCAGTTGTATCCATGACAAAGTTGAGGCTGTCAGGAGGGTGAGTGGGTTTGGGGGCAGGCAGAGTGCCTTGGAGAACTTACGGGTCCTGCCAAAACCCTAATGCAGAGATGGAGCTGCAAGTGCAGGCTGAGAATCATCAGCCTGGAGTGGTTTAGTGGAAGGCAGGGAGTGGTTGAGGCCCCCACAGGGGAGCACTGAGAAAGCAAGTTCCGAAGGAGGGAACGTAAGAAATGACCAGCTCAGAACCAAGGGTGTTCCAGAAGCTAACCCTTAGCTTAGGGACAGTCTCACAGAGAACATGTCCATGATGCAAGACTCTGCTGAGGGCCTGGGGCAGTGAAGACTGGCGCAAGGTCACCCTCTGGGAAGTGAAGTCACCAGAGACCTTGCGGAGCAGCTTGGAGAGTTCTCTGAGTAGGAGGGTAACAGAATGTGAAGGACACTGGAGAGAAGGCCAACAGGAACCAAACAAAAACAGGCCAAGGAAATCCAGTATAGGGGGCTGCAGGGCCCA